AATGAAATTGGCAGTTTTGTATTGCCAAAAGTGGTTATTCTGACCAACAAAGACAGAATGATTCTCGGCCTGCCTTCCAGTACGAGTTGGACATATAGAAGAGTCCAGGCCCCAGAATGATGAAAGGGTCAACTTGAAGCTTCAAACGATCAAGCAAGAGTTAGCCAAGTAATCATGGGTCGAGTTCGGGAGGTCGCTCTAACAGATTGAGTATGAAAGAGGGGGGGTCCAAAATCCCAGCCCCAGTAGGGATATGATTAACAATACAACTATATATGTCTAGCAGTCTAAAGATGATATGGGCCTAAATGAATCATTTTATAAAGATCAACCCCTATAAATATGGGGTATTAAATGTAAATCGGGATTTGATCCCCATGACCTCTCTATCTACTACAGACAAAGAAAAGCCCTCATCATACTGCACACTATTAGAATTAACTCAATTGCTTAGCTCTCTCTTCGCTCCCCCTCTCTTCCTATTCTCTCCCCTTCCTAACTTTCTATTCCTTCAGTGTGATTCAAAGACAAATATGGGTTCAATAATTCCATAAAGTAGCTTTTATAAATTCAAACAAAAAAAAAATAAAAAAGAAACATAAGCCACAATAAATAAATCCAAAATAATTCTAGTTGTCACAATTGAAGTCAAAATTAACATAATCTAAGTCTTCCTGATCACTACATTCATAAAGAGTGAATGACAATTGATCTCTCTCGACCGTCAACTAGTCCATGTAAACCTATCGACAGTAATACTCTATATCTTATCCAATTGCCTAAAGTAACACAGCATCATCCTTAAGGTTGATCAGGACACAAGTTTACCATAGCTATGATTACCCCTCTTCTATATTCATCATACATTGAAGTGAGCCTAAAGTTCCTTCAAGATCGACTTCTATGGCCTCTCCTTCATCAGCCTCAACCTCACAAATAGAACATGATCCCTCCCATCAACAAAATTAGAAGAGACAAATTTTAAAACAAGTCCATCTGTCAACCTATGAAGATTTAAATCCAAAAAATAGAATATCACTCCATCCTCTAAATATTACATGGTAGGAATCAAAAACATTAAGTTGGATATAAAAGTATAAGCCAAAAGTCTCAATCAAAGCACATATTCATATGGATAAGAATTTCAACAACGAAGTTTTTGACAACCAAAAAAATTGAAAGAATGGATCAATGAGGTAATCAAAGTTGACTTTAACTTTCACCCAATGGAGTGGATCTCCTCCATATTATACTAATCATAGTAAATATTAAAGTTGTGTGTGTGATGGAGCATTCGTTTGCCCTATCCTTGAAGGCTCTAGTTATTGTGGAAGTTGTAGTGTTGGTGTCATAAGATAGCATTATTGATGCCTACATTGTGGAGGTACCAACTTCTTTGGCTACTTTTGATATGGGTCATTATCTCACTCTTAAAAAGAGTCTTCAATATGGTTAGAACATCAACACCCCGTCCAAAGGGAAAGGTTCTAGTCAAGCATCAATTGCATTTTTGCTCTCTATTGTAAATGTTGACTATGGGTGAGTCTCAAAATCCGTCCAAGTTTGTCATTTAGGGCAAAAAAGTAATTGGATTGAGAAGCAATATTTTTAATTTAATGGCAAGATAAAGAAAAATGAAAATGGAGGCAAAATTGGAGTGACAATTGGCTTCTATGTAGGTGTCCTCTTCATTTCACTTCATTCAAATTTGAATCCTCTTCATTTCTCTTCTTTCAAATTTGAATGATCTCATTCAAAGAATGCAAAATCAAAGATAATGGATTATTCGAGCTCATTGTGACGAATAAAGTGAGAATAGAACGTAAAGAACATGCAAAGTTTTGATGGAAATTCTTATGCTTTTAAATATAATTTATGAGGGTTAGAAAGTAATTGGCTTCTATGTAGGTGTCCTTTCCATGGTGCATCGCCATCTCTGATTAAGTTCTTATGATGGTCTTTGAATCCAAGGATTTGTGATGTACAAGTAGTGAGTTACTCACTCAGTGTTGCCATAAAATTTCACAGGGATACTGAGTTAGTAATACCTAAGAGCCACTTTTGCCTTACAAATGGATATTCCAAATCCACCTAATAACAACATATCACATTGATAGCCATGCAATTCCCATACATGTAGTTTCCCCAAACCTATGTC